ATGTCTTTTTTTTTTTTTTGATGACGTCAATTGCCTGAGATATGTCGTGAAGGAAAGATTGAACTACTGAACAATAATGAAGAAAAAGTCTGCAAATTTTCTTGCTCTCGTCTTCCGTTTCTTTGTCCAGAACTCAAAAAAAAGAGTTGTCTCCTTAGAAACCTTAAAGAAGTGTCATCGATTTAATAAGTGGGGAAGGATGTACAGACTGGTAAAATGGGCAACTTATTGCAGCCATGCAAGTTGATTCTTAAAATTTCAGTTGCAGACTTGAAGTTTAGTTTTTCAATGCTACAGTTTCTGTTTTTACTAATAAGTTTTGATTTTTGGTGATCTCTGACTAGTGGAGTCGTGTAGTTTAAGTTTCTTGTGCTTTCTTTTTCATAGTTGATTTCTAGGATGCAGTTGAACACAGTGTGCCCTCCACCCCAAGACTGAGTTTTGTTCTTTTCAGTTAAACCTTTCCTCTTGCTATATTTGGTACTGTTAGTTGGAATATTGTTGCTTGTGAATTTTGATGAGGAGCACTTGTTGTTGATAAATGACACACTGGTGGTAGAGGGTATAAATTTTAAAAATTCCATGCTCTCATGTAATGGCAAGGATTTGATCTAGGATTGGAATATTATATGCCCGCATTTTCTGATTAATAGTGTAGGAGAATCTTATGGGTTAGAAATATCAGAATCTCAGAACCCATCAACTAATTCTTATATTGAAAGATTTATCAAATGCTTCTGCAAGCTGGAAAAATTAATCTCCGCAATGGTTTTCTAGATATTGGGAGACTTAGTGTGTACTCTCACAATAAAATTTTGTGAGATGACTTTGGTGTAGCTTTAAGTACTTCTGATTTATCTTAAACAAGAAAGAGAATCATCAAATACTTTTAACTTTGTTTTTTTATTTTGTCTTCTTGTATATGCTTATAAGATGCTTTATAGTAAGTAATCAATGATACTATGAACGTGTCCCACTGAATATTACTGTAAAGGTTTTGGCTGAAGAAGGCGGTGCAAGTCCTAGGTAAAGGGAAACTTAGTATTGTGGTGCCCAAGGGCATGATTTGTCGCCCACCTTGTGTGCTATAGATTGTTACATCAAGTGTTCTTATCATTTCATTTGTATCCTTCTTTTCTTCCACATTTTGCTCTCCTTTAGATATGAAGCGAGCTGATTCTTAGAACTTACTTCAAAGACATAATGACTGTAGGTGTGTCATAATAATTTTGCTGGCAGGTGTGTGCTCATAATGGAGTGGTAGGGATGTACAATCTCTCTGGTTTTCAGTTGCATAGGTCGGACTGAGATATGACAAGATGTAGCAAAAAGATAGTAGTTATTCCCTCTCTTTCAGTTTATGTGACCCTATTTCCGTTTAGTCCATTTATAAAAGATAGACCTCGTAAATTTGAAAATACATTTACTTAAACTTCCCAGTCTATTCTGAATGAGAAGTTTTTATGGAAATGTTCAAGACCACAAGTTTCAATTTTTTTTATAGCCACACCAATATTATGGCACTCTTGGTCCAGTCAACTAGGTTCACACAAATTAGCCACACCAATGTTATGGCACTGTTGGTCCGGTCAACTAGGTTCACACAAATTGGAATGGAGGAAGATAAATGTTTTTGTATCATTGTGGTGTTCGATTCCTTTCTTATAAACTCCACCTTGAGTTGATTGTCTGGTTTAATTTTACACTCTTGTGAGGGTAAGTGTTACATGTTGTCTAAGAATTTTGTTTGTTAGGCAAATATGTGGGGCTCATACATTTTTTTGGTGTTTAAGGAATAGAATATCAAAAAAGGTCTTATGGAGAAGAGTAAAAGTGGGCCGCTTGTAGCTATTGGTGCAAAACAATTAGTGAGCCCAATGCCTTCCTTATTATATAGACATTTATCAATTGTATGAATTGGACAAATGACACTGTTGTCTGACAGTCCGAAGTTCATGGCACCTTCCTTCACTTTGTGGCAATGTTTATGTTAAGTGAATCATTGGCTATGGACTTTTCTTGAAAGTGCTGTAGACTTCTTAAAAATAAGTTCCCTTAAATGCTTGTCTTGTGTGGACATTTCGACAGCTGAATTCTAAGTTAGTAACAGGAGTAAATATTCAAGATAAAACATAGGAGCTAGGGGTGTCAAAATGGGTAAAATATATGGTAATCCGCTTGAATCAACCCATTTCAAATTGATTGGTTATCCAATTATTTAAAAGTGGGTCAATAATGGATCAACTCATATTTGGATAATCCATGGATATTCACCAATTGCACTCTCCTTAAAGTATGTAAGGGTGTAGGAACCTCTAGAAGTACACTTATTAAGGATGTGTTTGGTATGAAGAAAAATGTTTTCCAATTTTCTCAATGTTTGGTTGGAATTTGGATTAAATGTTTTGGAAAATATTTTTCCAAAGGACTTATATTTCTCTCATCTAAGAAAAATGACTTCAATACATAAAGTCAGTGAATTTTTTCCAAACCTTTCCTTGAACCTCACTACCTAAAACGGGTCCAGAGTTGGTATCTGACTTTCAACCCCGACCCGATCTGAATTTGACCTCCTGACCCCTCGGTTCATGACCACTAATTTTCTAGAAAAATAGTTCCAAGAAAAAATGAATCTTTTTTCTTCATAGTTTCCTTCATACCAGACACACCTTAAAAAGAGAAAAAAGAATAAGAAAAAAAATCTTGTAATATGGAAGTACTTATTTCTTTACATAGTTAGAAACAGTGGTAAATATGGATATCCATATCATCCATTGGGTTTACCCATTTTTATCCATATCAAATATGGGTCGAGTCGGATATTTTGTTCGTTTTTCACCTGGCTCATTTTTAAGCAGCCCATATTCAACTTGACCTGCCTGTTGCCCACCCCTAATCGGAGCTGTCCTGCAACATAGAGGACAATAGCCAAGTCTGTTTTTCTCAAAGAAGGGGGTGATCAGCTTCAAATTGGTTTTTTTTGTAGGATGACTTGACAGTGACGCTAGTACAACAGTGTCGCCAGTCCCTCAATATTGTTCAGAGAATCATCGAGACTGCTGGGGATAATGAGGCCCTCCTTTTTGAAGCCCTGAACGTAAATGATGAAGTCCAAAAGGCCCTTTCGAAGTACGATGAATTGAAGAAACCTACAGTTGTTTCGTCAGAGCCAGAACCTGCCATGATTCCAGTTGCAGTGGAGCCCGAGGAGTCACCCCGTGCTGGAAAAGAAGATGCTCTGATCAGAAAATCAGCAGGCTCCCGATCTGCAGTCCAGGGAGGCAGTAATGATGACATGATGGATGATCTTGATGAGATGATTTTTGGTACAAAAGCGGGGGGCACATCTGAATCAGGACATGACTCAAAGAAGCAGCAATCACCAAAAGATGATCTTATCTCATTTTGATTTCCTTCCAGTGCATTGGACAAATACTGGAAATTTGACACTGGCTTTGGTGATGTTAATATCAGGCTTTTTCACATTCTCGCTACTCCAGTTCTCATGATTGAACCTTCATAAATGAATGTAGGAACTTCGTCGATTTGTTCTCCACCATATACCTGAATAACTTATAGTTTTAATGTTTAAACTTTTGGGATTTAGTTGCTTGAGAAGAGATGCTGCATGTCTTTCATGAATATTGGATGATATTTGTTCTTGATCTTGTGTCAGCCCTTCAAGACATGTCAGTAATGAGAGCTCCATCGGTTTTCTGCGTGCTGCTGTCTGTGAAAAAGCCTGTTTAAATTCGTGAATGTTATTGTTAAGGCATAATGCATAAAATATGTCCTTTAACTTTACCTCATTTTACATTAATGTCCTCCAACTTTGAGTATGCACAATTAGACACTTAAACTTGAACAAATAGAAACTTGCGTCCTACATGGCATCCTACATGGCAATCTGCGTCCTATGTGGTGTCCTGTGTGTATTATGTCACATAGGACTTGTGTGTCTACTTGTTCAACTTTATACAAGTTTAAGTGTACTTGTGCACATTCAAAGATAGAGGGTATAAATGTGAAATGAAGCCAAGTTAAATGACATATTTATTTATGTATTATGACTATTGTTAATACTGTTTGGGTTGCAAAATGGTTATTTGTGAGTTTATTCGAGGCGAGCCAATGAGATTTTCATATTTCCCAGGAGTAATGACTAAAAAAATAAAATCTTAATTGGTACAGTTGCATAGTTATATCATTTAACCATATAGTTTTACACCACTAATCAAATAAATCGAAATACAAAGAAAGAAAGAGGAGCATCCTCTACAGTTTGTCTGTATGATTGTTATACTCCCTCCGTTTTTTTAATTTGTCAAATTTTGACTTGACACATTTATTAAGAAAATAATAATTGATGTAGTGAGTTTATCATTTTATTTCTATTAATTGATATGTTAAATTGAGGGTATAATAGAACAAAAAATTGTCATGCCTTGGCTTGTCAAAAATAATAAGTAAAAAGGGAAATCAAATTAGGAAATATTTGACTAGTAAATAGACAAGGATGGAGTATATTGTTTCTTAAATGTATCTTATTATATTGTATTGTATTGTGTTATAGTCTATTATTTCTATGAATATAATGTGTATATATTATATTGTTTCTCGTCATTACATAATATCATATATCAATAACTAAGAAAATAATAAGGTTACAATGCGATCACATCAATGACATAAAATGATGATCAATCAAAGTAAAATTATGTTTAAACTTTAAACTAACAACACCAAACATCATACTTCCCTTTTATCTCAATTTATATATGACACTTTTCACTTGCAAGATTCAACTCGACTAATCTTTAAAGCTAAATTAGATTATATCAACTCAATATTCAAAAATTAAAATTCCTATAAACAAAAATTATTTGAAAAGTACTATTAATATAATTGAAAAACATAATTTAAAATGTTTGGTCAAATTTTATATAGTTTGTACAAACTGTTAATACACCAGCCAGTTTGTACTAAGCCGAACAAATTCTGCAATTTAATCTGCCATTTTCTATTTTTCTTTCCAATTTCTTAAATATTCTCCAAGCTGTAGAGTCTGAGATTTAACAATTGTCTCTCTGTGGTGTTGAGCAGTGAATGAGTGATTCAATCATCTAAAAAAATGGCCGGAAGACATTACACTGCTGCTTCTGGAACCTTCAAACCCAGATCTCCGGCATTATTTTTACTCCTTGCTCTTCTCGCTCTCACTCTCTTCTACATCTTCTCCATCTCCACCTCTTCTAACTCCATCGGCAACCTCATCTCCTCCCGGAACCCTAACTCCGGTATCGATTACTCCTTCGTTTCTTCACTCGAGAAATTCCTTACCAAATCTCCGCGATCCGTAACGGCCGGTGAAGATACAGTTTCAGGAACGACGTCGGTGGAGGATGCTAGAAAATTAGATGATTCCATTTGGAAGAATGAGAATCAAAGGCTTTATGATGAGCCGTTTTACCCTGCCTTTTCGCCTCTCAAGGTTTATGTTTACGAAATGCCGGCGAAATTCACTTATGATTTGCTTTGGTTGTTTCATAACACGTATAAAGAGACTTCTAATCTTACCTCTAATGGTAGTCCTGTTCACCGCTTGATCGAACAGGTAATATGGATGATGTTTTTTTTGTCAAGTTAGTTACATTTGTTTAGCTTAGTATGATGAAATGATTTTTTTTTCTCTGTAGCATTCAATTGATTACTGGTTGTGGGCGGACTTGATAGCGCCAGAATCAGAGAGATTACTGAAGAATGTAGTTAGAGTATACAAGCAGGAGGAAGCTGACCTGTTTTATATTCCGTTCTTCACTACCATTAGCTTCTTTTTGATGGAGAAGCAGCAATGCAAGGCTCTTTATAGGGTGTGAGTGTGTTTCTTCTATAGCGTGTTTCCTTCTATTCCTACTGAACTTTTTACTAGCTCTGTTTGAATTCAAAACATTCTCTTGCTTTTCGACTCGTGTTTTATTCATGATTTTTTCACTGAAATTTGCTTTGATGTGATGTTTATGAGTAATTCAAGCTACATGTAAAACACAATCCTGGATATGTTCGGGAGGCAACTCCTGTCCGAACTTCGAGTAGTGCAATCAAATCTGTACTTCTTTCCGTGCTCTCATTTCTTAGGCATACTAATTCTTCTATTGCATTGAAGCTCTCAATTCCATAACCTAGTTGTAAGCAGTTTTATAATGCTTGTTACTGGACTGGAATCCAATAATTCTTTAGTAACTAAACTGTGCATTCATTATTATCCTCAAGGTTCTAATTATTCCTTTAAAGTTATCTTTTTCTGATTTATCTTAGGGTTCCTTATATTGTATGGAACACATTAGCATTATCATCTCAATTAGGTACAACTTAGTAACAGACATGCTACTCTATTTGCAGACTGGGAAAAGGAAAGAAAATCCCCGATGGAAGGAGTACTTGTAAAAAAAAATCCACTATTAGTTGATTCTGGGTGGGAAAAACTAGTATCAAAATGTTGTCATCAAAAAAATAAAATAAAAAATAAAAACTGGTATCAAAATATATTATAAAAGATTGATTGTTTCCGCTTCTCAATTTACCACGGTTTAAACTTATACCTACACAATATTTTTTGATATAGGCCTGTCATGATCAAATTCAAAAGAGTAATTGAGAAGTTTACGAATTTGCATTTCCTTATGGATAAACACCAACAGATAAATTAAACTTTGATACTTTTCGTTATCTATTTTAAATAGGACTGTGGATTCTGCGATTGGATTAGAGACTTTGTTATGTTAGTGGAATATGATGGCTAGACTTTGTGTAGCTTTGCTGTTGTCATTAGTCAATGTTTTTATTTTTTAAAATTAAAATGTAGGAAGCTCTGAAATGGGTTATGGATCAACCAGCTTGGAATAGATCCGAGGGAAGAGATCACATACTTCCAGTTCATCATCCTTGGTCTTTCAAGTCTGTCCGCAAGTTTATGAAGAAAGCTATTTGGTTGCTCCCTGATATGGACTCAACAGGGAACTGGTTAATATCTTCACTGCTATTTTTTTCGTAACAATTGAATATTATTGCAGCTCCAACATGAACTATTATGTCTACGTTGAACTTCAGGTACAAGCCTGGGCAAGTTTATCTCGAGAAAGACCTGATACTTCCTTATGTCGCCAATCTCGATCTATGTGATGCTAAATGTTTATCTTCATCAAGGAGAACTACGCTGCTATTTTTCCGGGGAAGACTTAAAAGAAATGCTGTAAGATTCCCCTTGTATTAATCATCAAGTTTTATTCAGTTTGTGCACCACTTCACACTAATTTCTTGTTACTGCTCGTGTATCGAGTTGGTTAAAAGATGATTTATGGAGAAATGTTTTGGAAAATTTGGGGCTCTCCTATTGACAGTAAAGTGGGTTCTGCGCTACCATGTTGACTTCAATAATTTTCCCGACGTCTGCAGATTTCAAAATATTTGAAGACAGGGCATGTAATGGTTGGAAAAGAAACTCCAATCTATTTAATTACACCGTAAAATATTAACTCCTAAGTTCTATGCAATTGTGAAATCCTAGAATAAGAAGTTACTTATTTCTTTCCATATTAAGACAAAATCATGCCAGGAACTAGTTGCTAAATCATACTAGTAACTGGTTGCTTAATATTGCTAGGACAGAATATTGGTACACATGGTTACCTCTCCTGTGTGGTTTGCGAGCTATTGCATAGGAGCGGGGGCTTTACCCTGTGCGCACCCAAAGGGTAGTGGTTGTGGCTTTCCCTTGTCATCAAGGAAAAAAAAAGAACATGGGTTCTAAATCTTGTAATTTGTTTACTCTTTCAATATTCCTGTTACAAGTTAAGAACTGAAGTTTCTATGTAGTTGATGCTAGTTGCCTTGCAACCTTGGAAAGTTATATATACATAGTAGAAGAAATTCTTGATGATAAATGAACGAGATGGTGAAAAGATTTTTTTTTTCATGATATTCAGAAGATGCTGAACTACCAATTACTCTGCAGTTGTGAACCAGATTAACAACTTCTCTTTGTTCCATTGCTAATTTGGTTTTTTGTTTTTTTTGTTTTTTTGGATTGGTCTATTAGGTTTAATTTATTAGTAATTGGTAGAGTTACAATTAGAAGCAATGGACTTCGTTTTGAATCTGCTTTCCTTAAGTATTCCATTCACTGCGTTTTTTTTTTTTTGGTTTCTTCAGAATGAGAATATTTTCCCACAAAGTGGTTATATTTCTGGTAGGTTGTGGCTATCTGATATCTTTCTTCCCAGGGTGGTAAGATACGTGCCAAACTTGTGGAAGAACTCCGTGGTGTAGATGGAGTATCCATTGAAGAAGGGACTGCTGGAGAAGGAGGAAAAGAAGCAGCACAGAGTGGCATGCGAAAGTAAGACTTAGATTGTATTGTCATCTTAAAATTCTTGAAGTGAAGGTTGTTCATCAGTTCAAACAGCAAATTGAGTGTTTTTATATTTATTTCCTTGGGTAAACAGGAGTATATTTTGCCTAAATCCAGCTGGTGACACCCCATCATCAGCCAGATTGTTTGATGCAATTGTCAGCGGCTGCATTCCTATCATAGTCAGCGACGAACTAGAGCTTCCTTTTGAGGGGATTCTTGATTATCGGAAGGTATTAGCTACTTTGGCATTCTTATTCTTGATTTCAATCTGAGGTTATGGCTTTCTTTTTGGAACATATTCTTTGATCCAGGCTTTATGGAAACCCTTAATACAAAGTTAAGATGATTAATCATCATAATTGGAAGTGTCAGTCAAAAAAGCTGCAGTATCTGTTCAAGGCCAGTTGTAATGTTGATGGTCTAAGAGGAAGTTACATCTGTCAAGTTTTAGTAGCTTTTGGTTGTCTATGAGGAGGTTGCATCTATACGTTTATATTACTTAGTTTACTGGGGAACATCAAGTTTCGGTGGAAATTTTTTATGTGATAGTTACTCGCCCACTGATCACTTTTCTAGCAACTACCTATTCCTCAAGTGCCCGTATGAGTTATGATATGGATTTCTGTGTTTTATTGTAATTGCATTGAAGCTGGAATTCATCTTTCTTTTCAATCATAATTACCACCCCATTTACCCGACAAAGTTCCTCCTCTCCTTAAAGGACAGTGAATGTGGAGGGAAGGGATGAAGAAATGAAGTTGCATTTTGTGTATCTCTTACTCTTGTTTTTCTTTGGCAGATTGCTCTGTTTGTCTCTTCTAGTGATGCTTTGCAGCCAGGATGGCTTTTGTCATTTCTAAAAAGTGTTAGTACAGCTCAAATTAAAGAGATGCAAGCGAACTTGGCTAAGGTACATAGATTTTTTTTGGTTGAGATTTTGAAGTAGCATTGTCATCATTTCATAGAATGGCTGGGAACATAATTGCTTAATTTTGTGTTTTTTTGTTCTTTTTGCGATGTTTTGGTCAAATTGTTGTTTCAGTGAGTTATACAAAACCCTCAGTTGATCTAATTTTGAATCTTTTGCTTATGACTGCAGTATGCTAGGCATTTTCTTTATTCTCATCCAGCTCAGCCGCTAGGTCCTGAAGACTTAGTCTGGAGAATGGTTCGACAGTTACTTCTCTTTAGTTGGCTGTTATTTATCTCTTTGCTATTATGAACTGCATTTTTATTTTTTTTGGTGACGGCTGGATTTTTTGGCTCTAACTAACCAAATTCTGTCAAATATTGGTTTCCAGTCCTCTCATTCTTTCATTCATGCCATAACTGATACTTTAGTACTCCTTCCGTCCCAATTTATGCGGTGGTATTTGACTGACCACAAAGTTTAAGAATGGAGGAATACTTTTGAAATTAGTGGTCTGAAATAGGTCAGAGATATTTATGTGGCTATAAATCAGCTCAATAAGGGTAAATTGGAAAATTGAAAGTTAAGTTACTAAACATAGAAAGGTGTCATTCTTTCTAGGACTAACTAAAAAGGAATGAGTGTCACGTGAACTGGGACTGAGGGAGTATCTCTTTCCATGCCTTTTGACGAAGGGGGAATATCTGGAAGGCAAGAGAATGTTTTATGTGTTCATAGTCATTCTTACCAATCTCTTGTTTCTCCTCCTTTTGGACGGGTTGATTCATCTACTTAAGGAGATTCTGTGAAGAGAATTCCTATACCTCTACATCTATTGCTGCTTGTAATGAGATAACAATAATGATGCTATGGTGATATAGTAGAATCGTGTGTGACCACCAAACTGGTGTTTGGGCCTTAAATCCTCTCTCTCTCTCTCTCTCTCTCTCTCTCTCTCTCTCTCTCCCTCTCCCTCTCCCCCCTCTCTCTCTCTCTCACACACACACACACACAATTGCAAACCAAATCTCATTATTTCTTTGAGGTCTTTGCTAGAAAACTGCTTATTTGGGTGAAGTTGAAGAAACACTCTGCATGATTTAATCAAATGAATTTGTCTAGGCTTAAAGTTTTGTTATTTTTTTGACATTCTTCACATTCGTTGAAGTAATTTGCTTGTGTCAAAATTATTGATAGTGGTGGTCATCTTTTACTGCTCATTTTATTTCTTATTTTATAATGTAATTCATCGTGATTCTATGTTGCTAAATATTTATCTCTGCATTTGGTGTTGGTCGGCATCTTGTGATGATAAAATGCTTCACTAATGCCTGTACATCTTGGTGGAAAGGGGTTATTCTTAAGGTTCTTTTTCTTTGTTTGGTGCGGAGGTAGTCTTCATCTGTTTTGACTATTTCATCTGTAAGTGCAGCATAAGGTAATAGAGGCCTGAAATTTTTCTTCCCTTCATTTTCTGGTGATTCGACAGATGGCAGGAAAGCTGGTCAACATCAAGCTTCACACTCGAAGGTCACAACGGGTGGTGAAAGGATCCAGAAGTGTGTGCACTTGTGAGTGCAGAAGTCCCAATGCTACAAGCCCAGGTCCATTGTCTTGATTGTAGATCGCAGATGTTTCCTTTTTTTGTCACTCAACAAAAAATTGTCTTTTTTCTCCTTATATAAATTTGCACTTCAACGTTTGATATAGTTCTATGAGACTTGGGCAAAATGTGATTGTGTAAGTAAGAACTAAGTAAATGTGATTTTTCTTCAAACTCGTGTCTAATTTTGTCTGAAGAATATTTAAAGTTAGCTTGATGACAGAAACTTAATAACACGCAATTTGTATACCTACCTGTTTGTGATGTTGGCTTGGATTTCTACTTGTGGAAATGATCAGCCTTGATATATTGAGGTTGTTTTGAATTTTGTGTAAGGCTGTGACTTTTTCCATTGGAGTAGTGACATCTGTCCCAATTTTGGTACTGGTTCAAGCACAGATATTTATATGTTTACCATTATTATATCTTGGTCTCCTATTGGGAGATATCCTGTAATGGATACAGCTAGTGAAGCCTTATGATAATGAATTGCTTGGTTAGATGTAGTCACAGGAAGGGAAAAGTCTAAAAAAAAAGAGTGAAGAAAATGAGCATATTTCTTAAACAGTTTAGACATGTGATGCGAGATGGATCGCACATGCTTTTTTTATTCCTTGCAATTGTATAAGTGTGGGATGGGTAGTAGTAAAGGTGATGGGTGCAATGACTAGTGAGCAAGGCTGGCTAAGTATGGGACGTGGGAAGCACATACATATGATGATGATTAGTTTATTCATGAAATCATGATGATGATCGTGCTCATGTTTTTTGGATTGTTGCATGAGCTGTGTCACTAGGCAATTCTGTAGTTTCCTGGCAATTAGTCACCGACCTCATATATTTCATATTACTATTATATGGTATAATTGGTCCCCGTATCTTATTGCCCTCTTTTTCACGCGATAAAATAATGATTGTTTCCTCAGATGAATCTCGGCTTCGGATTGGACAACTTTTGAAGTCGTGTTGCCATTACCTTTCTATTACCAGTAAAATCCAATCCATGCACTGATTTGGTATCCTACATTAGTTGAAGCCTAATGAGTTGTTGCCTTCTCCTAAGGTTTTGACAATCCTTACTTGATCAGTTAATCTCGGGTCATTTGGTTCAAAATAAGGATATCTTAGGATTATAATTTTGGATATAACAATCCCACTTTTTATATGGGTTAAGTTTAGTAGAAGGGGATATTGGAAATAAGGGAAACATAAGACGTGTATTTCAGTAATTTTTCCTAAGTTTATTTCAAGATTTTGTTCAAGTAAAACAACGTTTATTTTTGGTTTTACACTTGGTGCCCGCATTTGAGCTTAACTAAATTTGGATCGCAGATTGTAGGGCGGCCCATTTAGGGGTTGGTTTTCTACATATTTAGGGCTTGAACATGAAAACTTTGATTAAGGGTATTGTTTTTAGTTAATACCTCCAATCAAATATGAGATAATTAACTCAATCCGAAAATATACACCAGAATAATCCACCTGTTCTTGAACTAAAACTGTATGTTGAGTTAGATTCAATATTCATTTTACCAACATATGTGGGTCTTAAGTTGTATGAAAATGTGAATTGTTGCTGCTTAATCATGCCAAATATTAGTAGTAGTTACTTGAACTAACACTAGTGTGAGCAGAGCTAAGGAATCCGGTGCTAGTTAGTTAATATCTCTCTGTCTTAATAACCTCCTAGTGTCCTACCAAGTCAACATTTTGCACAAAAAGCTAAATTTAAAAGAATAGCCACATCGCCCCGCATGCTATTATTAATTGTTGTTTTTTTTAGTCCAGTGTACAGTATTCACATTAAAACTGATTAAATTTGAAGCTTTCTCCCTAACAAAATCGATTCCATACCTAGGGGACTCAAAGCCACCTCTCTCTTCACTTACTCATCAGTCCACCAATTGGTTATTATTAGGTAACATACGTAAGTAAAGTCTAGTAGGTTAACTATTTAAGTTAGTGAAAACGACATATATAAATATTACATTACTGAAATTAATGAAGTCACGTAATGAGAAGAATTAGCCACAATTGTTAATGTATAAGCAGGTAGTAATAATAGTGTAAGAAGAGAAAAAAAAAAATTGTAATGACGTTTTAGAGTGGTTAAAGAGTTGTTGCCAGCCAACGTTTTCCCGCGTTGAAATACAAATAAAATAGAAAAGCATAAAAATCGTGAAAGTAGACATACGATGAACGTGAAGTCCTCATGCGTTCCGCTAATTGCGCGTTTACCATCATCTTAAGCAATATTGTGGCACTTCTGTAATTACACTACAACTTTTGGTGCTTTCTTTTAGGGCCTTTGCTTCTTTCACCACCCACTATTCATTAGAGTTAAGAATAATATAGATGAAAATGTTAGATAGATGTGTGGATATATTCGGAGAGATATGAGTAAGAATGAAATTATACGAGAACGATGAGAGTGATTTTTGTGATGGACAAGCTGAGGAAAGCGAGACTAGCGAGTTTTGAATGTGTGAGAAGTTGGTTAGAGCATGAGTTAGGAGAGGTGGTAGGTTGAAAAAAATTGGGAAGGTGATTAGACAAGTCATGATACAATTTAAGTTAACTGAGGTCTGAGAACATGACTTTAGATAGGAATATATGAAGGTTGAGTACTAAAATAGAATGTTAATAGGTAGTTGAATGTTGTCATATTTTTAAAAGTATGATTTATGTATCATGTAGTTTATTTTTTTCTAATGTGTAATAATATTTGTTGTTAAACTTGTTTTGTACATTGTTATTTTACTGTCTCTTTTTCCTTTTTACTTTTTTAAGTTAGTTACATTTTTTTTTTTTTGAGTCGAGAGTCTATTGAAAATAATTCATCTACCTCGTCAAAATTCATTTGTGGGATTATACTGAGTATTTTCTTAGATAATTTTTTGGTTGTTTTAACTAAAAAAGGATTTTCCATTTAATTGAACTCATTGTCTTTAAATAAATTCTTTTTCGTATTGCTAAATAATAATATTTTTATTTCATATTCTATCTAACATTACATCGTGCATAAATTTTCTATACGAATATTATTTATTATTGGCAACCAAACGTTAACTTTATGTCGATTAATTTTATACTGATTATCTCATATAAGATTTTATGCAAAGATTAATCACTCCCACATCACAAACAAAATGGTAAGTGGATGAAAATAGTAAGGAAAATTTAACTATAGCCATAGTTAAGTACTCCCTCCGTCCCATTTTATGTGAGGTAGTTTGATTCGGCACGAAATTTAAGAAAGAAAAGAAAACTTGTAAAATTTGTGGTCCAAAATGAATGATAGAAATATGTGTGACTGTAAATCATTTCATTAAAGGTAAAATATGATTTTTATAGTTAAATTGTTACTTAATATAAAAATGTATCATTCTTTTTAAAACTGAATAAAAAAGAAAGTAAGTCATATAAATTGAGAAACGGGAAGTAATTATTAAAGGGAGTCTTGAATCTTGACTACTCAAATGGGAGATTTTCCAAATTCAATTCCATTTGCTTTAAAAGTTTCATAATCATCAAACCAAATTTGTTAAATTTAGATACCAAGAATAACCTCCAAGTTGCCAATAATATCTGATTTGCCCTTTTCCGACACCCCATCACCAAGCTGGCGAAAATATACGAAAATTTTCCGTTCTTCGTCCTTTCATACAAAATATAATAATAAAATAAAATAAATTAAAAAGACAAAAACACGCCATTACAGAACATCATTTATAGTAAGAAAAATAGTGAAACTTTTTCTTGTAAATTTTTTCTGCTTATTTATTTAAAGCTATACACAGAAATTGAAGTGAAAAGATCCAAAAACAAGTTCCTTAAATTTTCTCCCTTTTCTTTCAAAGGAACTTTTTTTTTTTTTGGCTTTTCAAGAATCTCCTCACACACCCATTTTTAAATTTTTATGCTTTAGATTCATACATTTGTTTAAATTTTTTTTTTTTTTAGGCTACTTGCTTATCCACTCATTTTAAGTTAAAGGGTGCAAAACTCCATTCTTGATTTCTGAAAAAGATTGGAGCTTTGGGGCTAATGAATCTTCTAGCTCCACTATATGCTGAAGAAAGTTGAAATGGTTCATTACCCATTTTGAAATTTTTGTGAATTTAGTATTGGATTTGAAAGATCCACAAACTGATAAGTTGGTAGTAAGTAAATTGGTTTGGTTGCTGAGATTCAAGTCTCTTGGAATTTTGATTCTCAGAAAATGATGGCTTAGCATTTCTTATCTCATTGATAGGTACAGTCTGCTGTCTCTATTTACTGTTCAATTCTTGTAAAGGTGTTTACATTTTCTTACTTATCTGAGAATGTTGCTTTTATGCTTTAGTAGTGACCAATCGCTGCATTTTTATTTTAGTTGCTGATTGTTATTCATGATCTGGGACTTGGGTGGTCTATGGAATAATGGAAAGATCATTTGGATCTCTTCATCTTAATCTCATTAATTTGTCTATCAGGATGTGTTTTTTGCTAGTTTCATAGCTTCTGCCTTCTTGTGTACAATTGACTTGAAGTTTGACTAGATTTGAATTTCATGTACAAATTGTGCATCTCTCTTTAAGTTGCAAGCTTTTATGGTTTTTGTTCAAGCCAAGTTTATGAGAAAAGAAAAAAGGCTAAGTTGTTGGGTATAGTCAACATCGTGCTTATGGCAAGGTCCACGGGTGGCTTGGGTTGGAGTCATGATCGAACATGGCGCTTGCTTGGTGGACTTAGTTAAGAAATAAAGTTGTGCATTTGCTATTAGCTATAGCTTTTGGCATGATGGTAAGTGTTTGATCGTGACATATGATTTTGGGAATCTAATCTACCAATACTTAAAGACTTCAAAGCTTTTGGCATTTGGTAGTTATTTGTCATCATTAGCATAGTATTTCTTTGCAAGTATGCTTTTTGAATTATGATCTCCAGATGTCTACATTTGAGTATTTGGTTGTTTTCCCCCGTCGAGAAAGATAATGATAGAGCATGTTGATAATGAGATTTTTACATATGAATTTCAAACTTGAACCACGTTAGTGTTTTCTTTTTTCAGGATCTTGGTTTAAATCAGAACCAGTCTATGGAAATGGCTTCAAAATCATTCAAAGCTAGTAGATCATCTCTGTCAACATCCTCAGATTTGCCTGATCCACAGCATGGCAAACCT